TCCTCCCACCCCCTCCCCTCTAGAACCCTGTTTGTTTCTCAGAGTCCATAGTCTCTCATGGTTCGTCTCCCCCTCTGATTTCCCCCCATTCGTTTTTCCCTTCTTTCTCCTAATGTCCTCCATGCTATTTCTTATGAAATAAACCACATTTTTAAGTGCTCCACAGCCATGTGTAGGGAGTGGCTACTGTAGGGAACAGCACAGCAGAGGATCTAAAGAAATAGGAGACAGAACTGTTGCCTACAAGAAGCTAACAAAATAACAGAATAAATACCATAAAGTAACATAACTGCGGGGTGGAAAATACCATACATGCTATGGATCCAGGGGGAGGAAGCGCTCCCTGTGGGAGTGAGTGTTGTCAAGGACATGGGCCTTGAGCTGCTACAACCTGGAGACAGAGAGAAAGGGGAGGGTGGTTGGGAGGGGCTGAAGACATAAGCAGCGATGTGGGAAAAGGCCAAGAGGTTTGACTAGGAGGCAGAAAACCAGCCAGGCTGAAGGGGAGAGTCTGTGCAGAGGGAGCTGGAAAAGAATTTGAGAAACAGATGGTGAAAGACTATCAGGAAGGATTTTGGAGCAGGGGAAAACATGATGAAAGAGTTGTTTTAATCAACTAAACTTCAATAAAAAATGAAAAATAAAAACAGCGTGGAGTAAAAAAGGATATTACAAAGCTGTCAAAGAGACAATCAATGTGTATGCTTTTCTTGGTCTAAATAAATAATTCAAATTATGGGGGAAAGAAAGGAGTTGTTTCAAGTTTGATTTCAATACATGGAGAGAAATACAATGCTCCTGAGTAGGAAGACTGAACATTATAATACTGTCAGTTCTTCCCCAAACAAGTTTTAGGTTTAATATCATTTCAGTTTAAATCCCAAGAAGGTTAAAGAACTTGGGCGGGGGGAGATTATTTGGAGGAATAAATGGATATGGACTGTGAAGAAAACTTTGAAAAAAAAATACTTGGGTATCTGCCTACCTGATTTAAAACCATATTATAAAGATAAAATAGGACACAAGAGTAGATGACTACATCAAAAGAAAGGACAACAAAGTGCAGAGAGAAGTAGAACATAATCTATAATTATGAATTTAACATACCATAAGGTGGCATTTGCATTTCTTCTCTGGCACTAATGTCCTCAGCCCATTTTCTATTAGGTTATTCACTATTTTCTTCTTGATTTAGGAGCTTATTATGTATTCAGGATGACCCTTTATTAGTTATATAGAGGTCTTTTAACTTTATTTATAATGTTCTATGATATACAGAATGTTTAAATGTTTTATTTGATGAAATATCAATCTTTCATTTTATGGTTTCTACTCTTGGGTGAAGGAGACATAACTTAGAAAACACCTCTATTTTCTTCTAAAATGTTATTTTTTATATTAAATATTAATGTGAAATTTATTTTATTATAAAGTATGTGATGAGGATCTAACTTATTTTCATAGTGGTTAGCCATAGATTTAAATCTCCTTTTCATATACTTAATTATTACATATGTTTGGGTTTGTTTTTGTACATCTATTTTGTTCCATTGATCACTTCCTCCCCCAATACCACACTTTATAATTTTCAAAGCTTTAGAATATATATTAATATTTGACAACATAATACCCCATCCTAGATGAAAATGGGAAAAAAATCCCAATATTTTATTCACCTCAGGGCCAAAATCTATTTTGATAAAATACTGTATTCTTATTTTAAAGAACACACAAACTGGACATGAAAATTTGTAAAGCATAGGCAAAAAAAAAAAAAAAAAAAAAGCACCAGACAAGAGGATGGAATAAAAATCCCTAATAAAATAATATGATAACATTTGATAGGCATGCAATGCTTCTTGTTGTATAAGAGCTAGACATTTTTGCACGGTGTTACCCTTTCCTTGTGCAAAAGCAGGGTGTTCAGACAGGTATACTGTATCTGGCTGAGCTGTCAGGCTGCAGATACCTGAGTATGGCCCCCTGTGTTTGTTCTGGGGACTCTGCCCTTCTGAGTTGCACTCCCAAGTCCACAGGCTTCTAGGGTTTTGGCACCTGGGAATAAGGTGGTGGTAGCAACACTGCTGCCTTCTGACCTAGAGTGTTTTTTCCCCTGCTGATGGACAGAAACCCAAAGTGAGACACACAGGCTCCCCTTAATGGCTTTTCCTTGGTAAAACATCTCCTCATCATAGTTTCCTAAAAGGTCTTGGCTCTTCTAACTTACTCATTCTTCCAGACTGGAGGATGCACAGAACTCTCTGCAGTTGGGGGAATCACATTAGAGGCTTTTACATAGACAGACGTCCCCCACTTATCTGAACTCTTGCTACTCATCATCTGAAACTCCTGGACCATATACATTTGGATAACTGATATTCCTCACCTTCAGAATTCAGGAACTGTATAGATTCAGACAGTGAAGGACAGGTGTATTATGGGGGCTGGAACATTTTAGGGAAGAGTCCATTGGTCTCTATCAGCAGCTGACACCAAAAGTAATGAAGAACAGCAGGGCTCCCCATGGTCCTTCTACTGTGTCCAGTAGACCTAAGGACTCACAGAGACTGATCTAACAAGAATTCTCAAAAAATGAAACTGGTAGCCAAGAAAAGTTCTACAGAATGAAGCTGCAGAAAAATGACAGCCCAGGAACACATGAACTATGACTAACTCAACCAACACAGTGAATCTTGGGTCTCTCCAGGTCCACCTCCACCAGGTAAGGGATTGCTAAGGCCACAGCCTCTGCAGAGGTATCAGGGGTATCTTCCAAATGTTCCTCTTCCCAGATATGGTCCTAAAGCCCACGAGACAAGGGCAATCCAGTCAGAGGACAGAATCTGGAGTAGCCAGATAGGATAGCCAAGAAATACATTTCACCATTAAATGAGTGGATGATGGAATGAGAGTCACTAATCCTATAATTCCATTTACAATCCCCTTCTGATAGGGTATGATTTATGTTCTGGACTGGCAATCAATTTATGATGCTGGCTTGGAAATTTCTCTTTTCTTCTTTGCTCAACTTAATTTTTATTGCAGCTTACTATTTTAGTTCTTCCATTAGATATCAGATAAGTGGGAGAAGTCAGTTCTTTCACTGAGTCCAGTGACTGCACACCTGAAATGGATAAAGACCAAAACAGAAGAGTAGTAGACATAACCTAGAGGCTTGGTAATGAACTTGGAAAATAAATGGCTTCATCAGATTGTCCCTGGATGTTGTGACTGGATATAACTTTGGGAGAAGTGTGTGAGTATGTATTTGGGAGAGCCAGAGAACATTACTGGGGACAGCTTTAGAATGTATAAACAGGGATAAGGATGTGTGTGTTGCAGGAGAGGAGTGGTGGATAGCCAAGGAGTAGGACGTTCAGTGGACTTCTTTAGAATTACCTAACTTACAGTCACACACAGGGATGATCCTCAGCAGACATGTTTGTACTATGGGACTTCATTTCCCTAGGCACAGCTGACAGTCCCATAGGATGTACCTGCCCAACTCTCAGATATACAGAATTCAGAACAGAAGATTTTAGTTCAGATTGGGCTGGTTTCCCTCCTGTGAAAGACCTTCTCCATCACCAAGAGAATAGAAGCCAAGCTCCTTAGTGGTACATACCAGCCCATCCATCCCTTCAACAAATTCTTAGTAAGAACCTATTATGCACTGTTTTAGGCACGACAAATAAAACAGAGAATGGGATGAGAGTTTCACCTTTTAAGGAACTTACATTCTAGTAGTAGAAACAGACAAGTATTTCTCCTGCTAGCAGTAAGTGCTATGAAAAAAATTAGAGCAGGGAAAGGAGGTAGAGAGTCATGAGGGTGGTGGGGTGCTCTCTTAAATAGGATGGGCACGCAAAGCTGTGGAGGATACATTTGAGAGAGACTTGAATTATGGTGGGGAAGTGAGAAATGGGAGGCAAAAAGAAAGACCCCGAGGCAGGGACAGGTTTGGGGGCTTGGCTGACCCACAAGGCAGTGAGGGGCAGCAGAGTCATCCAGATGGGCAGGGACAGGATCAGATCAGGACACAGGGTGCACTGTAGGCCACAGTAAAGAAATTATTCTGAAGGTAATGAGAGACTATTGAAGGGCTCTGAGTAGGAGAATCACATTTGCTTTTTGTTTTTTAAGATCATTTTGGCTGCTGTGCAGGCTTGTCTGTATGAGACGTTAGAGTAGGAGCCAAACTAATACTCTAGGCAGGAGATGATGGTGCATTGCATGGTAGTGCAGGTGAGAAGTGGTCAGGCTCAAGATATATTCTAAAAACAGAACTGATTGGTCTGACTGCATTAGATGGGAAGTGAAGAAGAAAGAGAGGCACTGAGGGCAGTGCTAAAGGTATTGGCCTGAGCAACTGGATGAATGGAAGGGGGAAGGCTGGTGGTTGAACAGGTTTGGAACGTGTGGGTATATGCAGGGAAATGAGAATTCTCTTTGGGACATATTCAGTTTGAGATCATTCTAGGCATTTATGGAGTTGGTTATACCAGTCTGGAGTTTGGGGAAAAGGTCAGGATAGAACCTCATCTCCAATAACATTCCATAGATAACACTAGCTGAATGAAAACATGCAACTGCTTGACTTGTGGTTGCCAACTGACATTTTGTGGCTGGTGCCTTTTTGTCTCATCACCTCTGTATGCCAACACCCTTCCACCCTTTCTACCTCTGGTTGACTCTTGTCCTTTAAAACTTAGGGCATCTTTGCCTCCATAAAACTTTCCCTAAACACCAGGCTGAGTTAGGAACCCCTCAGTTGAGCCTTTGTGGTTCTTACCAGGTATATGCAAGCTGCCTTTTCAATTCTCTAAGGCGGGGTCTTCCTGACTCATCTCTGTATCCCCAGTATCTAGTCCTGAGCCTGCCACACAGTAGGGAGCTCTACACCTATTTGAGTGAAGGGAAGGTGCAGACTCACAAGACTGTTGCCTTATTCACAGAGAGGGCCGTTGAGGATTTGAACTACTAAATGGAAAGGAGTGGATGGTTCCCTAAGAGTCACATTCTCTACGAGAACTTTGCCAACTGCTTCCTGACACCCACTTCTTTTCAGGAAGGGGTCCACCTCCCTTCCTACTTCTCCCATGCCATTTCTCTGGCAACAGTCTTAGGAGTGGGTGGACTGCACGCGGAGAGTAAACCCACCCGAGTTGATGTCGACTTCCCTTGATGCCTCTATTCCCAGTGGTGTAGGACAGTAGCCACGGGCGGTCCATCAGCAGTGGGAGAGGTAAGCGGAAGACACACCATCGCACGCGAAGCTCTAGGTAGCGGTCTGGGAGCAGAGCCCCCGTGGAATTGCCCCCAGGGCCGCGGGAGGTGAACGCAGACTAACCCCGCCCGCTCGCCAGCGCTGCCTCAGGGGCTCAGAAGGCGGGTGGGGGTGGAGGGCAGCAGCCAGCGAGCAGGCCCGGGACCCGCCCTGCGGTTGCCAGGACACTGCACCCCTGCCACAGCGCACGCGCGCGATGCGCTCGGGCGGTACTCACCGGTGGGGTGGGGGAGCTGGTGCTGGGCGTCCTGGGCCTCGGGCCGGCTGGCTCCGTGGGCTGACTTGGCCATGGAAGACGACACTTGGTCCATGGCTGCAACCTCGGCGGGTGCTCGGTGGCTGCGCGCAGCGCCTGCACTCCCGGAAGTTCACGGGCAGCTACAGTTTCGTTTTCGTAAAAGCTACGATGACCGATTTCCCCTGCTTAGGGGAAGTTCTGAGCAAGAGACATGTAAGGTTTGCAGACGGAGTTTTCATTCAAATAGGAGCTCGCATCTTCTACAGATCTGAGTCTGATTTTTTTTAATTTGCAGGCGATCCCCACTTTTCCTCTCCAGACGGGGAGGAAAGGTGGCCCAAACCCCTGGGATCAGCTGGAGAAGTGATTGCTCTTCTGAGGGATTACTCGTTTCTTCTAAAAATTGTATAACACCAAATTTGGCCTAAATAGGTATGTCATAAACGTAGGCAGAATTAACCAACTGTAATTCCAGTTGCGAGTCGCAAATCTTTATTTAGCACCCATGGGGTACACAGCACCATACAAGACGAGGTTTTCAGTGCATGTAACAAAATATACATGTAGAGAACACAAATGCATATAATTACAGATTAAAAAAAAAGTTTTGGAAAAGAAGCATATAATAGTTGGTGGTTTGCTGAGGAATTAAAGGAAAACCTTGCATTTTGAGGTTTTATTATTATTATTTTTTGCATTTTGAGGTTTAAAGGGAAGAGAGGCAAACTGGGGATAGTAGAAAAGAGAATATGTAAAAAGATAGCTTGGATAGTCTTGACAAATATAGAAATGGATTACAGAAGAATGGAGCGCAAAGGGGAAATAAGAACACACTCTGGCAGCCCCGTTTTTGCCCTTCAATCAGCCAAACAAAGCCCTAAAAGAGACAATTAGAGACTGATAGCTCAGCTCGGTTATGATGTGACACTCGAAGAGACCCATCTCCCACTCTCAGCTTTCAATCTCAGCCTTTTATAATGTTCTACTCTTATGTGTAGACTGCCAAGATCACAAACTGAGGAAAGCCTATAACATGAAAAACAAAGACCAAAGGATACATACAGGGAAAACAAGAAATAAACCTTCGAAGTCACAAAATATGCAGGAAGAATATAGATATGAATGCGTGTGTACACATCATGGTATTTTCAAAGAGATAAGACACCACAGACATGAACCCAAAACAGGATGCTGTTAAAGAAATCCAGAGAAGAGAGCTCTAGAAATGAAGAATATGAGACCAGAAAAAATAAAGCACAACTGACATATTGGAAGATTTAAATTGAGAAAATGTCCCTGAAAGTACAGCAAAAAGATAGCTGAAAATAAAGAGAAAATTTGGGGCACGTGGCTGGCTCAGTTGGAACAGCATGCAACTTTTGATCTCAGCGTTGTAAGTTTGAGCCCCACATTGGGTGTAGAGATTAAGTAAGTAAACTTGAAAAAAAAAAAAATCACAACTCTAAAAAAAAGAAAAGAAATTTAGAGAGCCAATCCTGGAAGTCTGATATCTGAATAACAAGAGTTCTATAAAGAAAGAAAGAATGAACACATGAAGAATCACTAAAGAAATGGTTCAAGATAATTTCCCTGAAGGACAAAGATTTCAGATTGAAAGATCCCACCAAACACCCAGGATGAAGGATGCAAATGGACCTTACCAGAAACAGAACACTGGACAAAGATAATTCTGTCAGCTTCGAGAGAGATAAAAACTGGTCATATATACAAAGATAAGGAAGAGAATGACATCTGACTTTAGTAGTCACCATGGAAGACAGAAAGGAGACCATTTTCAGATTTCATAGCAGCAGCACTGGAAGCTAGCAGAAGCCTTCAAAATTGTGTATGGAGGTTACTCAAGAATTCTATACACTGAAAAAATAGCAACCAAGTTAAGTGTAAGGGTAAAATAACATGTTTAAACATGCAAGGTCTCAAAATATTTACCTCTCAATTTTCCTTTTCAAAAACAACTGGAAGATGTCCTTCACCAATATGTGGGAGAAAACCAAGGAAAAGGGAAATAATGGAATTTAACTGGAAACAGATCTGACATAAGAGAGACAAAGGGAATCTCTAGGACATTGATGGAGGGTGACAGTTGTGAAACAGATCAAGATGTCAGGATTTATGTACAAAAATAATTCCCATACTTATCAAGTATCTTCACTTTCAGTGTACTGCCTAAAATTTCTACATCTTTACTGCAAATAAGTGGACTTAACTTTCCTCATCTTAACAGGCTATTAGGTTATAACTTTTTGCTCCTTTTCCTAGTTCATCGGTTTCCCTTTCTCTAAAACAATTTCAAGTTAAATTTTCATCTAGTTCAATATTTTTAAGCAATTAAATTGGGTCCAAACTTAGAACACAGTTTTATTTGAACAGTAACCAAACTAAACCCAGAATCGAGTATAGAAAAAAAGAAAGAAAAAAGACATAAAACTTCTCAAAAGCCAGAACTACTTTTAATTAAATACTTCTTTTTGAGCTAGTATTCCTCTTCTGGTTCCAAGGGGGAAGTTCCTGGCAGCCAAATGTAAAACTTTGTTATGGATAAAATTAGTTTTGACACCTGGAGATTCCTAGTCCCTTTTCCACTCCATGATCAGGGCTGGGTAACCTATAGCAGAGTATTACTCCCTTTCTCTCCACAAACGCAATCTGCACATCATACCCAGGAGAATCCAAGAAGCTGTTCCAGACTTTACAAACTCAGTGGAATTGCTTTGTTTTGTTTTATTAAGTGAAATTCTTGCCCAGCACAATCCCTTCTGGAGGGCCTAAATAAGCCAAGTCTGACTAGTTTCTAAGTTTTCTTATGGCTCTCCTCTACCTAGAACAAAAATATTCTAATTCCTCTGGGTTTTTATTCCCTCTTTTCTTGTCTATGTTTGCTGGAGTAGTAAGGAGAATCTGTGGAAAAGAAGTTCCATCTCAAAGAATTTGCCAAAAGCCTCCCAATAGGAGAGCTTCTCCCTCTTAGCAGTCAAATGGTTTGATGAGACAGAGTTGCATGCAGCCAGAGCTTCTCCAACTAGTGTTAAAATACTTGGAAGTAATATGTGTAAAGTTAGTTCTTACATATTCTTCAGGCTGTGTTGCCCACCTATGGCTCATAATGGTAAATTATTTGCCAAGAATTAAGCATAAATTTTGTAGGTAAAGATGTGAAATTTGGCCCTTTGGGGGCATGAACTCAAAGATAATAATCACAAAAGTAAATAAGAACAATTGAATTCTATTGTAACATTTGTTTCTCTTAATATATAATTTACAAATAAGTTACAAACTGTATAATGGTATGTCATATAAAATATACACTTCATCCCACTTGTGTAAAGTTGAACAGCAGAAAGAATAAAGAGATAGCCTATGCATATGAAAATGTCCTTATTTTGTTCCTAGCATTTCTAAGTCATACAAACGAATTCCCTGACAAGGGTAAACTGAGAAGAATTCTCTTGATGGATCACAGCCTAGGTTAATTCCTAGGTTGAAGGTTCTCCTGCATGGCTCTAATTGCAGCACGATAAGCTAATCTCATCAATAGGCATTAGCTAAAGATTTATAATATTTTCTTCCTACACTTATTAACCCCACATTGGCAGAGGATTTCTTTCTCAGGCATAGTCCCAGCTTCATACCCATAATCCCATGTTAGTTCTGTTCTTGCTTTCACATACCTAGAAAGTAGAAATTAAAAAGCAAACATAAATTACTCTGAGTAACTACCAAATGAACCAAACTTGATTATATCAGTTTATTAACATCACTACAAATCTTCAAAAATCTGGTTTATTCTAACACCCCCCAGTTAGGAATGCTCTTTTATTAAGAATAATCATTTGAGTTTTATTTCAAATCTACCAAAATCCTAAGTAAGAAACTTGTCAATATCCAGGAGAAAGGAAGTGTTTTGCAAACAGTGGAACCCAGCGATGTGATGACATCTGTGGTATGAGGCCTGTAGTGTGATAGCTGGAGGCAGTTCTGACTTACAGGAGATGTGGCATTCTACATCATTTCTTCTCTGAACTGAACTGGGTCAGAACTACCATCCTTAGTCCTTTCAGGAATTCTCACAGGAAATAAGGACTGAAATTTTAGCTGTTTAAAATTTTATTGACTAGGAACAGTTTGGGATAAATGAATATTCTAGGGTAGCAGATATTAGGGGCTATCACACATATTTTTTTTTAATCACACATATTTTAAAAATATTTTTCTATTGTTATTTTTCACAATCTCAAAATTAAATCACATAAAAGAAATTTCAAACCTGTTGGTGAAGAACGCCACCAGTGGAAAATTCCTGTCACGTGTTTCTACAAAAACATTCTGTACCAAAAGATTTGGGCAACAACTATGCTGTTAAAACAAATACATAAACACAGAAGTTAGATATAGTAAAGAGTCTGATACTTTGTTTTTGAAACATTAAAATACCATTCTGTTTCTAACACGTCTCACTTATTTTTGTTTCTTTCCCTTTTTTGCTGACCTATATTGTAAAATATCATAAAGTGTAATTTTTTAATAGTAGGAACTCAATCAGAAAAGCCCTCTTCTGACATTCTTATCTTGCTGGTAGAAATGCAAAATGGTACAACTTCTATAGAAGATAATTTGTCAATTTCATCATTATTATAAATGCATTTATCCTTTGATTCAGCAATCTTATATCTGGGAATGTATTCCACGGATATATATGTACATGTATCTATGTGTTTGATTATTCATTAAGCACTGTTTTTTTTTTAATTTTAATTTTTTTAAAAGATTTTATTTATTTATTTGACAGAGAGATAGTGAGAGCAGGAACACAAGCAGGAGGAGTGGGAGAGGGAGAAGCAGGCCTCTCACCGAGCACGGAGCCCGATGTGGGGCTCGATCCCAGGACCCGGGGAACATGACCTGAGCTGAAGTAGATGCTTAACGACTGAACCACCCAGGTGCCGCAAGCACTGTTTTTAATAGTAAAACATTACTGTTCTAAACATTGTTTAGAAACAACCCAAATGTCTATCCAAAGAAGATTGGTTAAATAAACTCTGGTATATCTCTATGCAGCTGTAAACAAAAACAAACACAAAATGAGGCGCGCTCTCTGTGTACTGATATGGAAAGATCCCCAGAGTATATTGTTAATTTAAAAAGCAAGGCACAGAACAGTGAATATAATATGCTTTTATGTAAGAAAGGGGGGAAATAAGTACATATATTCACTTATATAGAAACACTATACTTATACACTATACTTAAACACTTATAAAGAAACACTATAAGAATACACAAAAAGTAATAAAAATGATTTTACTATATAGAGAGTGGAGTGCGGACAAGGTGAATAGAGGCATAGTTATTTTTTAGGGTATTTTTTTTTAACAGAAGAAAAAAGATTAATACAAAGAATGTATGTGACTGAGTTTTACACCATTGTCAAACAGACCCTCCAGAAAGTGGACATATGTAAGCAATTGATGTCTCTGCTGAACATAACCATCAGTTATCCTTATTCAAGGCTTTTAACATGATACTATTTTATCCAATTACCACCATTCCAATATTGTTGTCTATTGGCCACTAGCACCCATCTCCACAGATTCATCTATGCCAAATTCATAAAGGGACCAAATCCCAGCAATACTCCTTGAACATGCCTGCCACCATTCAATTTCAATGATAACTTCCTGTCCATACATTTTTTTCAGTTGGGCTGGTAACCTTTACTCATCTACCATGAGTAGAGGCAGGCTTGGAGCTACCTTGAAACAGAATTTTGTTCAGCTGTATGTATGTATTCTGTATGGCTTTTTATTTCATGTATTCATTTTATTTTTATTTTTAAATCATGAATGTATTTTCTATGTAAAAAAAAAGAAAGAAGGAAGGAAAGAAGGAAAAAAGAAAGAAGGAGAGAAAGAAAGAAAGAAAGAAAGAAAGAAAGAAAGAAAGAAAGAAAGAAAGAAAGAAAGAAAGAAAGAAAGAAAAAGTGAAAGTCATACAACATAACTGACAGGAAATAAAGCCACGACAGTCCTTTGCTGGGGATCCTTCTTTAATGGCTCTCCAGACATGTTTAATGGCTCTTGACATGTTTGGCAATAGTGTAGAAGTAGTCAAAGTGGAATAAAGAATAGCAGCTGGGGCACAGAAGAAGAAAGGAAAGGATTCTATTTCTTGTTAACCAAGTATCCTCCCAACTAGGAGAAAAAGAAACAAACCAAATAAACAGATCACCTAGCAAGGAAAAAGTTCTTTGTTTTTAAAAATTTTCTGACTTCAGGTGGGGGGGGTGATGGATATTAAGGAGGGCACTTGTGATGTGCACTAGGTTTTGTATGTTAAGTGATGAATCCTAAATTCTACATCTGAGACTAATATTGCACTGTATGTTAACTGGAATTTAAATAAAAATTTGAAAAAGAGAAAAAATTTTCTGACTTCAGAATCTTTTTCTCTTCTGATAGCGGGTGAATTACATGACTGCACATAAATTTCAAACCATTCAAAGCAGCACAGAAAAATAGTTTAGAAATGTGAATCTCAGCCCATATACTCACATTAAGGAAGCGGCCCACATTCCCTTCTTTTGTGGCATCCAATAAAAACACGTTCCCTTTATTAAACTTCTTTAGAGAATCAGGTGAAATATTCTTGGTTTCACTTGGGAACTCTTTTTCACAAAAGACTTGATGGTTTTGATATGCTGGAGATCTTTCCTCTTGGGGCTTTTGCATTTGAGCCTTGAACTCCTTTGTAATACTCTGTTTATCCAATGTGGCTGCTTGGTTACATCTGCCCCCTGATGGAGTTTCTTCTCTACATTTAGTTATATCTATCACATCTGATTCAATCTGCAGATTGTCTTCAGAGTCTTTAACTTGGTAGGAGCTTGAATCCTCTAATAAATATTTTGGAAGGAAGTGTCAGCAAATATACTTGGCTGATCAATAGTCCTGTGATTAACATAGTAATTAAATGCTAGTTGCTTTAATTATTGCTAATCCTTACAATGTATGAAGGTAGATAGTACTCCAATTTTACAAATGAAAACTGAGCCTCTGAGAGGGTAAGAGATTCACCTGACCTGTAATATAATGAGAAGTGGGGTAAGAAACCCAGAAGAGTCTCAAATGTTTGAGAAAAATCTGGCTCCAGGTCTGCCTTCTTTCTACTCCCTTTTTACGAATGTACCTATTGCCTCCTGTCACTACTATATTTAATCTCTACTCCTCATAAACTTACCTCTCTTCAACTCTGGAATCTGCATTTAAGTATATTCTTTTTTTTTTTTTTTTTAAAGATTTTATTTATTTATTTGACAGAGAGAGACACAGCGAAAGAGGGAACACAAGGCAGAGGGAGTGGGAGAGGGAGAAGCAGGCTTCCCGCGGAGCAGGAAGCCCGATGCGGGGCTCGATCCCAGGACCCATTTAAGTATATTCTAAACACTTGTAACAGAGTAGGTATTTAGGGAGTACTCTAGGCCTTTAGGACACCAATGAATGGCCTGAGAAGACCCTCTTGGCGTCGCCCTCAACAAGTCCCAAGAGTAATAACTGTATTGCTATGGGTTTTGCACACATTAGTGTTTGAAGGTTTTGCTAGATGACCATTCAATATTTATACTTTTACAAACAATAATACTTTAGAATAAGATGAACTGCCTTAATCATTTTTCTTATCCAATAATGGAAATAATTTTTTAGGATATTCAGAAGTGTAAATGCTTTCCCCCATCTGTTTAAAAGCAGTACATAAATTTACAAAGGTGTCCTCCCTCCTCCTACCAGGAAGGACAAAAGTTACAACCAGCAACAGGTTTAGACCTTGATCAGCCCGGAAATCAAACCAGAGGAATCTACATAAAAACTTTACTAACTAGCCTTTATCCACTATTGGTTTCCCATATTTTACCTTCCCACAATATGCTGCCCCTGGAGACTCAAGGTCCTTTTCCTTTGTCTTGTCACTCCTCTAAAAATTTATTGTTCTTTGGCAAAGATGCTAGATAAGTCAGAGTTCTAAGCTACTTCTTTTTTTTTTCTTTTTTTTAAGATTTTACTTTTGAGTAATCTCCAAACCCAACTGGCCTCGAACTCACAACCCCAAAGATCAAGAGTCACATGCCCCACTGACTGAGCCAGCCAAGCACCCCTCTAAGCTACTTCTTTATATTATTCATCTCTGAGTACTCCCATGTGTTACATACGTGATATACATGGTAATGGTGATACATGGTAATAAATTTCTGCTTGTTTTTCTCTTGTCAATCTGTCAGTCTAATTTACAAGGCCCCAGCTGGATAACCTAAGATGGGTAGAAGAAGAGATTTTTCCTTCCCTTTGATGATGAAATAATTATAATACATAAATGCCCTTTCTGATAGACCTTTTCTGTCAAGCAGCTGCCTCGCTCCCCAGCCTCAATCTCCATCCTTTAAGACCAGGTGAGGAGTTGGGGATACAGATGCAAAGAAACTCTAAAGGAGAAGAGGCAATGGCTCAATTATTCAAAAAGGGTCATCTCTCAGCAGTATCTCCCCAGTAAGGGATATTATGAAATGCAAAAGTACCAAAATCCAGGTTTGTCAAGTTGTAACATGAACTACTGTAGACTGGTAACACTGAAAGACAAGCACTCAGAATAGCAATATTTTTGCTTTTTGCTGAGCATCCCTACAGCACTGTTGGCTGGAGTACTGCAGAATGATGTATCTTAATTTTAAAGGAGCCCCTAACAAAGAGTTAGGAAATGGCTGCTTTGGACAATGCTTCCAAAGCCACACATAACACTGTGGACCATGTGGACTCAGAGTTGTCTACCCTACTCCTTCCTGCAATGCCTCAGGGTCACTGTTGGTGTATAGACCAAGGGTTGGCAAACTACTTCTGCAAGGGGCTAAATAGTATTTTAGGCTTTGTGGGCCATATAGTCTCTGTTGTGACTATTCAGCTCTGCTGACATAATGTGAAAGTCATCAGAGATAATATGTAAATTAATGAGTGTGGCTATGCTCCAATAAAATTTTGTTTATGGACACCAAAATATAATTTCATATAATTTTTAAGTGTCACAATATATTATTCATCTTCTCATTTTTTTAAGTTATTTAAAAATGTAAAAATTATCTTAGCTCATGGGCTATACATAAAAAGATGGTGGGCCAGATTTGGTCCACAAATTGTAGTTTGTCAACCTCTGATCTACATAAGTAATAACTTTTATAATGAATGCAGCTTGTTTGTTCTAAGTCTGAGAAAATAAGCCACAGGTATTGAACGAGACAGACAAAAAGGCAGAAGAGGGAGGCTATCACAGAGTGAAACAAAGCCTACTTTTCATTTCCTTGGCTTTGGAGTTCAGATGCACTTGGGCTGGTTTAAATCCATCATTATCTTCTGAGGTGACAGACTCTGAGGAAGCAAATCCCTTAAAAGAGAACAGGTAAGATGTCTTTATTTTCTAGGTCAGGAAAAATAATTTAATGTAGCAGTTAGACCTCTTTCGTCAAGTGTCAATCTGGCTGTAGCTACCACATTAGTTTTGGAAGCCTCAAAGCTGATACCATAAGGAATCTCTGGAGCGATGGAGCCCTTTTGGCTGTGTTCTACTTCTAGGCACTTTAGTAAGCCACATATTAAAGACTTTATTTATCAAGACTGTCAAGACATTCTTTAGGCATTAAAATTTAAAATAAAATTCAAAGACATCTGTATCCCTCCAATTTTGATACCATATTATGAATTTGGCTTCAACTATAAGATGTGCAAAGATAAAAGCACACTTTAGCTAGTTTTTACTTCAAAGAGAAGGTTAAAGGAGTTGCCTGTCTTTATGAGTTGTATACACGGCAATCACTTTATATGTTAATAACTTTTAAAAAGGTGATAAGCTTAACACCACATTTGGCACTCAACTAACTGTTCAACTAGTGTTGACCATTATTATTATTATTATCATTATTATTATTCAAGTTACTTAAATGGTTAACATTTATTGAGCACTTGGGTGTCAAGCATTGTGCTACACAAAGTTTCTGAAGCTTATCTCATTTAATCCTCTTAACTCTGAGATAGATACTATATTATCCTCATTTTACAGATAAAGGAATGTAGACGTGGAGATGTCACCCAGGTGGAAAGCCCAGAGCTGGAGGTCAAACCCAGTTCTATGTGGTCTGATGGCCTAACCTTTTCATAATTATATGATCCTGAGGAGATACTTACTGTATGTACATTACTAGGCAGAGGGCAAATATTTGCACATCACCTAGGGCAGAGTTTTTATTTCTCATCTACAAGCCCTACTGTGAACTATCTTTATGTCTTCCTCTGTTCTTTTTCCTGCATCTTTCTTTGCTTCCAAGTTATAGTCTCTGACTAGTTATTTTTCTCAGTACAGACTGAAAAGTATACCTTCAGAGGCTATCATGTAAAATGGTGTTTTCTGGATGATTCTTTCATTAGGCTGTGTCTATTCTTTCTCTTACATCTCTCAACCTTATCTCCTTAACCTGAATTACTCCATCTTTTTTCTTATTATGTATCACTATCAACTCTGGAACACTTTAGCTTTTCTATAAATTCTCAGAACTGGATAGCTCTCAGTTTCAGTGGAACACATTGTCAGATCATGACCAACACTCTCCTTATGTATCTAAGTTGGGAACATGCCAATGACCATGGAGGACACTAAGTAAATAAAACATGGTCCTAACACTTCAAGAGTACGCCCATTCCAAAATAATGAAAGAAACCCTACATTATTAAGTTACACAAACAATTGGAGCTAAGTAAAAGACAGAAAGTTAAGATCACAGTTAATATTCTCAGAAGGGCCCCATCTACATTTTGCAGTTTTTACCATCCTTTTCCCATTGCGTTGAATAATGGCTGTCTTCACTTTAGGACTTCTAATGACTGAATGATACTGAATTCTTGAAATATTGTTACATTTCATTTCTCTGAAAAGGAAAAAAAAAGTTATTCCATATATCACTAAAAATTCTCTTTATTGGACCTTGAAATATAGATATCACTGTTATGTAAGTATCCATTAGAAATTAATCTAATACACCTATGCTTATCCCCCACTAAAGAAGGAAATATATTTTAAAGTCAATCATTTTTGAAGTATGTTTAGAAAATAATCTGTGAAAAGGTTTGTAAATAAGATGCTAGAAAATAAAAAGGACAGCAAAAGTTATGACATCCATAAAGACTCTGATTAAAGGCATAAGTCTTTTAAAGGTAAAACTCCAGAAATGGAACACAGGAAATTAAGTATGTTGGCTAGCTTTTAAAATATAAGCATTCTAGATTTCTCAGAGTTAAACTTACAACCGTGAAGCAAGCTGATATATAGGAGATACATAAGAGTTCGGGGGAGGGTGAGTAAGAAACAAAGAGAACCATTCTTAATAATACAGATCAATCTTGATTGGGTTCCTAATATCTTACTTACATAACAGGCTCTTTTAAATTATTATTGAACGTAGGGAGACACTCCTCAGTCTCAGCACTTCTATGTGTTTCCAGTTCTAATGGGATAACTTCAACCTCACAATCTGCAACTTCTATTTTCCTCTTTTTTGAAAACATATTTTTCATAATATTCTCTTCTTTTCCATTTTCATCAATAGCATCAGGTTTCTCAGTGTTAGATCTGCTTAGTAATCTTCCTAAAAGAAAAAAAGTAAGAGTTTAATAAGACAAAATATAATTGCTAAGTAACAGAAGAACATCTCTATTCTGCTCCATTACTAAAGAACTCTATGAAATGTACCATATTTCTATAATGAAAATAAACACAATAACTCATCCTAGGAAACTCTTGTAAGAAACTATAAACAAAACACCAGTAAGAGATTTCATATCTTCCAGTATATGAGAAAAAACACTGACCACCTAAAAAAAGCATTTGTCTGTTCTGGTATAAAATGAAAGAGAACAGATTTAGCTACAATAATAAAAATAAAATCAGAATGGATTCTAGAAAATTAGAGAGGTGAACTCCACTCTTTTTATTTTTTAAAGATTTTATTTATTGGGGCGCTTGGATGGCTCAGTTGGTTAAGTGTCTGCCTTCAGCTTAGGTCACGATCCCAGGGTCCTGGGATTGGGCCCTGTGTTGGGCTCTCTACTCGGTGGGGAGCCTGCTTCTCCCTCCCCCCTCTGCCTGACGCTCCCCCTACTTGTATTCTGTCAAATTAAAAAAAAAAAATTATTTATTTGAGAGACAGAGAAAGTGAGCACAAGCAGGGGGAGGGAGAGAGGGAGAAGAAGACACCCCGCTGAGAAGGGAGTCTAATGTGGGGCTCAATCCCAGTACCCTGGGATCATGACCTGAGCAGAAGGCCGATGCTTAACAGACTGAGCCACCTAGGCACCCCGTGGTGAGCTCCACTCTTAAGACTGCAGCTTTTGTGTCTAGTTAAAATGCTTTATCAGTTAAAACTTATATATTTTTTAGGGGTGCCTGGGTGGCTCAGTCAGTTAAGCATCTGCCTTCGGCTCAAGTCCTGATCCCAGGGTCCTGGGATCGAGCCCCATGTTGGGCTCCCTGCTCAGTGGGGAGTCTGCTTCTCTCTCTCCCTCTGCTGCTTCCCCTCCCCCCACCCCCACTCCTGCTCTCTCTCAAATAAAATCTTTAAAAAAAAAAACACATTTTTTTATAAAGTGACCTATTTAAATCTGAGGTAATATGTGCCTATTGTTCTCATATTAAGTTCTAGTGTAATATTAAATCTTAAAGTTTATGTATTTTCTTTTAAGGGACCCAAAACTATAGTGACCAAGTCAAAATTAGCAGCTGAATCAGAGAGATACCTTAGGTACATTTTCTAGTAATGCAGACAAAGCCAATGAGACTTCCTGGACACCATGTGGCTCCTTATATAAGGCAGGTGACTTTCATCAAAGAGTGATTTTGAGAAATAGGAGAGATGAATGTGTAGGCAAATTGTGTATTATGTGACAGGGATCTAAGTGCGGCTGTTATGAATTATATGAATTCTTGCTCTCACTGAAGTGAACCTGGAATTTCAGATAAGGATAGTTGCTCTGGTTCTGCTGCCTTGCTGCCAAGACTTGGTCCAGCACAATTCCTTTAGACTGGCTCCAGCGCCATGCTTCCTCAACCTTTCTCATTTCATGATGCACACAGGAAGTGAGAATTTTTACCTGATACTCCGGGGTAAATGGCTGAGACTACTAAGACTGATGTGTCTGGCCTACAGGTTGTGACCAGAAAAAATCAGTAATGGCACAACTATAAAACGCTGGTTGGGAAGTTTTGCTTAGAGCATGAGCAACTCTCTCGAGTCCCTGAAATGGAGGGAGCTGCTTAAAGATCACTGCCTGAATCATCCTGTACAGGTATTTATTACAGACTTAACTTGTTAAATTCTAAGAGTTCAAATTATTGAACAAGATAGTCTTTGATTGATAATCTTTACCCTAGCAAGTCAGTCATTTAGTTTTCTTATTCAAAAAGTCTTCTTAACTTATCCTAAAGCATCTGTAGCCATGGAGACAAGAAAAAAATATGCCTCACACAATAACCCAAGTTCTACCATTGAGACTTTCTTTTCTGGAATATCCGGTGTCTCCTCATCCCTTCAGTGCTCAACTTCCCAGTCACTTGCCCCCCTCTGATGCTCCTCCTCTATATTGTTGCTCCTGTCCTTACTATAAATCTAGTAAGATGGAGATTCAGGAATGCAGATCTTACTATAGTAATCTGAATAATGAACCTTTGCTTTACCTGAATAAATGCAAACAAATGTCCCTCTGTCAATGTCATCTAGGCAGCGTACTCCCCATCCCTTCTTCTCAGTTTTGAAGACCTGTAGCCTCACTTGAGGTCCATGCTGGACAACTCGGTTTTGACACATTCGTCGATTACACTTGCACAACAGGCTGCATTCATAAATGCTGTCAATAAAATATGCAAGAAAAAAAACCAATCAGATATCCTAAACTAAAAGCAAAAGCAGTTTATACTGCTACCTCACTAATAATTACCACAGGAGGCCGACTAAGTGTGAAGGCTCCTAGACTCCCTGGATTCTCATCATAGCTCCAGCCATTTACTAACTGTGTGATGTTGGATGAGTTATCAATTTTCCATTTTTTAATGTGGGGATATATAATTGTACCTATCTTGTAGGGTTGTTTCATGATTAAATGAGTCAGTATTTACAAGGTGCTTAAGGCTATGCCTGGCACATAATATATGTTAGCTTTTAAAAAGTGTCTAGTAATGTCTAGGAAAGGAATGTCTAGGAAGAAAGCTTTTCTGTTTCTATGTATCTTTTAATAACAATTTTGAAAGTTTGAAAATTCCCAATTCTTAGATGAGCTTTGCAAATTATATTTCCTAATAGGGAAATTATATTTCCTAGCTGCCCAAAGTCTAACCCTAGTGGGTAAGAGGCAGACTCAAAGCAGATAGGTGTTTAAGTACACTCTGCATGCTACATGTGTGCTGACTTACATTTCTTTTTTTTCTGACTTCCATTTCCAAGAACAATATATAAGTTTGGTTTTTTATTCCTTAACACAGATTCTGGTATAAAAATTAATATTTAATGATATCTGTAAGACTACAGACCACAACAATAAAGTACCCACCTTCAAAAATACAAACACCCTGCAACAAATCCTCAAGGTATCTTACCCAGTAGGTATTTGTCTCTGTAGTCTTTTATATTTATATCCAGTGGTTATTTTATTACTTGACAAGGGGCAAGTCTTGGCATTCCTCGCTGTCAGCTGAAGACATGCACATTTTGTTCTAAAAGGAAAGCAATGGATGGAGAAGTTAGAATAAAAAAGTACCAACTTAAGAGAGTCTTGATAAAAATGTAAATGATATCGTAAAGGATGCAATTGTATTTAGAAGTCACTTAGCTGATGGACAGTTGGACTTCTTCCCTAACAGAATAGGTCTCTTTAAAAGACAAAATCTACCAAAAATTTGTCAACAATTATAAACTGCCCTATACCTCTATTTACTCATGAAATACTTAAATATATGAGTTTTAATTTTTTTAAATGAATTCCTTTCATTTCCTATTCAGCAGAAGCTAATTTGTGAAAATTCTCCTAGGTCCTCTCTCCTATAATGGATAAACTTATGTATGTCACACTTGAAAGGGCATAGGTACTTTTGCAGACATCTTAAAGTATCTCTCCCTCCAATAACATGAAAACAGACTGGGGAGATTGATGCTGGCCATCTGGCTACTACAATCTGTTTTTCATAATGTTGCTAAACAGAAGACACGCAACCATAGATTTTTCTCGTTCAAGATGGCAACGTAGAAGACCCCGAACTCACCTCCTCCATGGACACACTATATCTACCTAATTATAGAGCAATGCCTCCTGAAGAAAAACTGAGGGCTGACTGAACAGCTTCTGCACAGAAAAAGAGAAACCACAGAGAGAGAGACAGAGACACAGTAACAAAGGGAACCCCCACCACCTCTGACACTTCGAACTGCAATGAGGAGGGACTGGTGAGCAGATTTGTCTGCCCTGGGGCACAGAAAAAAAAAAAAAAGCTGTGGCTTAAAATGACAACTAGAATATAAAGGAACTAGCCCTAGACCCCTGCCATTTGGCAGGGGAGCTGCTGGAACTCTCTCTGGGTTAGAAGAGCTGGCAAACGCTACGGTTTACGTTTCCTCTCTACCTTGCTAGCACAGATGAGAGTAGGGCCTGGATGTCCTAGCCAGCCTGCAACCTCAGCAAGCCTTGGACACCCTGGGGCACAGAAAAAGCCTCAGTTTAAAAGAGCTACTAGGATATAAAGGACTCAACCCTAGAACTATGCAAAATGTCAGGGGAGCTGCTGAAACTCTCTCCAAGTCAGGGGAGCTGGTGAACACCATGGTTGATAATCCCCCTCCCTCTTGATACTGCAGACAGGGAAAGGGTCCAGGTACCCTAGTGGGTCTACCACTGCAGTGAACTCTGGGGCCCTAACCCACACCAGCCCTAGCCATCCCATCAAAGCAGCCCCAGTGCAGCACACATTGCACACCTCTGGTCAGCACTCACTATAGCTCCAGCCATCTCGTCAAGGTGACACAGGTGCAAAGTATCCTAGAACAGTCCAGGCCCATACCACTTTGGCTCCAGATGGTGACTGCACACCCCTGGTGCATAGCATTCTAGAATGTCCTGACCCATGCCCTGCCTCAGCCCTGGCCACGCTACTAGAGCCCCGCTGAATAAACAACCATGGGGACTCCTGGCCTCATACCCACTTAACCTTCTGCTGTACTCCAAGGGTGCCCTCTCTGTAAAGAGCCCTGGGACCACCCCAGCCCATACCCACTTCAGCTTTAGCTGTCTGGCCAATGTGCCATCTGCACTGAGAGCCCTTAGATTGCCCATCCTGCACCAACTTCAGCTCCAGGCATCCCACTAAGACAGCCCCAGCACAGAGTCCCCTGGGGCCTCCAGTCCACAATAGCCAGCCACAGCTCCAGTCAGCCAGCCAAAGTCACCAAGCCCACAGTCTCCATAGACACAACCATGCACAAGATCATTCCTTCTAGTTTAGGAGAAGCAGCCATTCTGTCTAGTTCATAGAAACAAAGACAGAAAGTCAAGCAAAATAAGGAGACAGGAATATGCTCCAAACAAAGAACTACACAAAACCTCAGAAAATAAACTAAATGAAATGGAGATAAGCAATATGCCTGATAGTTCAAAGTAATGATCATGAAGATGTTCACCAGACTGCAGAGAAGACTGGATGAACTCAGTGAAAACTTCAACAAAGTGATAGGAAATATGAAAAATAATCAGAGTTGAAGAATATAACGGAAATGAAAAATACTCTAGAGGGAATCAACAGATTAGAGGATGCAGAAGAACATATAAGCAATCTGGAGGATAGGGTAATGCAAACTACCCTAGCTGAATAATGAGAAGATAACAGAATTTTTAAAAAGGAGGATAGGTTAAGGGATCTCTTGGACAGTATCAAGTGAACAAACATTTGGATTACAGAGGTCCTGGAAGTAGAAGATAGAGAGAAAGGGTAGAAAACTTATTTGAAGAAGTAACAGCTGAATACTTCCCTAACCTAGAGAAGGAAACAGACATCCAGTTTCAGAAAGCACAGAAAGTTCCAAACAAGATGAACCCATAGAGATACACACCATGACATATAATAATTAAAATGTCAAAGATTAAAGATAAAGAGAGAATTTTAAAAGCAACAAGAGAGAAGCAATCAGTAACATACAAGGGAAACCTAATAAAGCCATCAGCTGGTTTTCAGCAAAAACTTTGCAGGCCAGAAGGGAGTGGCATGAAATAGTCAAAGTGCTGAAAGAATAAAATCTACAACCAAGAATACTCTATCTAGCAAGATTATTATTCAGAACTGAAGGAGAGATAAAGACTTTCCCAGACAAAGAAGTTAAAGGGTTCATCACTATCGAACTGGCCTTACAAGAAATGTTAAAATGACTTAAGTTGAAAAGAAAGGACACAACTAGAAGAAAATTATGAAAGGGGACTCACAAAAATTAAAAGATATAAAATATGACAAGAGATATAAAATGAGGGAGGGGGAAGTAAAAATGAAGCTCATTTAGAATGTGTTCAAACTTCAGTGACCATCAGCTTAATGGTCACTTAACTGCTAATACTTAGGATGTCATATATAAAGATTTTATTTATTTGAGAGAGTGAGAGAGTGAGCACATAAGTGTATGTGTCGGGGGAGGGGCAGACTCCCCGCTGAGCAGGGAGACTGACACAGGCTCGTTCCCAGGACCCCAAGATCATGACCTGAGTTGAAGGCAGATGCTTAACCAACTGAGCCACCCAGGTGCCCCTAAGGATGTTATATATAAATTTCGTGGTAACCACAAACCAAAAACCTGTAATAGAGACACAAAAGATAAAGAAAGCCAAACCTAACACTAAAGAAAGTAATCAACCTTAAGTAAAGAGAACAAGAGAAGAAAGGAATGGAGAAGAACTACAAAAACATCCAGAAAACAATTAACAAAATGGCAATAAGTACATACCTATTAATAATTATGTTAAATGTAAATGGACTAAATGCTTCAATCAAAAGACATAGGGCGACGGGTGGCTCAGTCAGTTAAGCATCTGACTCTTGATTTTGGCTCAGGTCATGATCTCAGGGTTGTGAGACTGAGCCCCAAGTCAGGCTCTGTGCTGGGCGTGGAGCCTGCTTAAGATTCTCTCCCTCTCCCTCTACCCCTCCCCTCCTTCTCTAAAAAAACAAAAACAAAACAAGACTCATCTATATGCTGCCTATAAGAGACTTACTACAGACCTAAAGACATACAGACTGAAAATGAAGAGATGGAAAAAGATATTCCATGCAAATGGAAGTGAAAAAAAAGCCTGCAGCAGCAATACTTATATCAGACAAAATAGACTTCAAAACAAAGGCTGTATTAAGAGACAAAGAAATGCACTATATAACGATAAAGGGATGAATCCGACAACAGGATATAGCACTGTAAATATCTAAGCACCCAATACTAGAGCACCTAAATGTATAAAGCAGATTTTAACAGACACAAGGGGAGAAACAGTAATACACTAATAGTAGGGATTTTAACATCCTACTTACATGAATGGATAGATTATCCAGGCAGAAAATCAATAACGAAAGTTTCTTTGAACAATACATTAGACTGGATGGACTTGACATAAATAAATATATATAAACATTCCAGCCAAAACAGAATACACATTCTTTTGAAGTGCACATGGAACATTCTACATGATAGATCATATATCTCAATAAACAAGTCTCAATAAACTTAAGAAGACTGAAATCATATCAAGCATCTTTTCTAACCAAAATGGAATGAAATTAGAAATCACTTACAAGAAAAAAAGTGGAAAAACCCTAAGCATGTGGAGGCTACACAACATGTTATAAACAACCAATGGGTCAATGAAGAAATCAAAGAGAAAATTAAAAAATACCTCTAAACAAATGAAACCTAATGGTCTAAAATCTTTGGGATACAGCAAAAGCAGATCTAAGAAGGAAATGTATAGTGACCTCAAAAAACAAGAAAAATCTTAAACAATCTAAACTTATTCCTAAAGGAAGTAAAAAGAGAAAACAAGACCCAAAATTAGTAGAGGAAAGGAAATAATAATGATCAGAGCAGAAATAAATGTAACAGAGACAAGAAAAAAAATAGAAAAGATCAATGAAACCAAGAGCCGGATCTTTGGAAAGGAAAAAAAAAAAAGAAAGAAAGAAAAACAAAACTGATAAACCTTTAGTCAGATTCATCAAGAAAAAAAGAGAGAGGATCCAAATAAATAAAATCAGAAATGAAAGGGGTTAAGTAACAACTGACACCACAGAAATACAAAAGATATGAAAAATTACATGCCAAGAAATTAGACAACGTAGAAGAAATGGATAAATTCAAAGAAACATAATTTTCCAAAAGTATATCAAGAAGAAATAGAAAAGGTGATTACTAGTAACAAAACCGAATGGGCATTAAAAAACTCCATTTAAAGAAGGGTTAATACTTATTCTCAAACTATTCCTAAAAACAGAAGAGGAAGGAAAACATCAAATACATTCTATGAGGCCAGCATTACCCAGATATCAAAACCAGATAAGGACATTAGAAAAAAAGAAAACTACAGAGCAATATCCCTAATGAACATAGATACAAAAATTCTCAACAAAAGATTAGCAAACCAAATTCAACAATACATTGAAGATCATTCACCATGGTCAAGTGGGATTTATTCCTG